GCTCATTAAGGAGAAAGTGAAGTCTATTGTATTTGAATATTTTCATTGTAAATCCCTCAGATGACTTTGACAGGAGACTGGGCTTTGAGATTACACATATATTCTATTTCTCAAGTATTTGGAAGTGTAAATGTAAATGTTTTACAGAGGTGTCAGGAATATGTAACAACAGACAGCATTTCTAGCATCTGTTGTAATACAGGTAAGATCTGAGCACCATAAAATTCAGATAAAGCTTAGACACTGGCATGACAACAAAGATGACATTAACAACAACTACAACAACAACAGCAACAACAAAAATTTCCTTTTAGAGCACTTGCCAACATCACAGGCAAACACTAAAATACATAACAGGCACAAAGAAACACAAAAGAAAAAATAAAGAATGAATAACAATTTAATCACATTTATACAAAGGTAATATATCCTCCAGGAAAACCATATTGCTCTTAAGAACACAAACTGATATAGGATATTACCAACACTGGCACACCTGGCTGTAGGCCTGGCCCTTAACACAACTGCTTCTAGTAAAAATGGAAATTTTCCTATTAATTCGCTGGGTATATGAAGACTATCCAGGATGGAGTGAAAGTCTGTTTTCCTTTAAAAACATCAAACAGAAACAAATCACCAAAATATCGTGTGAAATAGTGTGTTATAAATTTTAAATATTCACCACACTGATTAACCTATAACATAAATTAATACACTTTTTCGCCATATTTACAAGTTTGTTGGAATCTGCCAATACAAGGTCATTCCAGGAGAATGAGGGATACTAAAGCTTTGATCTACTTAAAGTAACAAATAAAAACTTTATCCAAAGAAGAAAAATTATTTATGAAAAAATGAGCCCTAGAAGGTTTGGTGCGTGGGTGTGTTTGTGTTTGGATATATGAATGTATGTATGTAAGTAACGTAACGTAATGTAATGTATTGTGACCTATTCCTGCTATGCAGGACAACCCCCTTTCCAGCGGTGACATAACAGCATCGGAGCAACTGCCGCTGCTACAGTAACAGGCCAGTCAACACTCCGTCCCCTTCCCCTGCGGTGACGTAACACTTCCCACTGTGATGTAACAGGGAACACCACTGTTATCACAAGGCAACAGGGAATGGTATAAAAAGCCAGCTGAGCAGTATGTGAACCAGAGTGTGAGATTAGGGGTGACACAGTGTGGACTGTGAAGTCGCCAAGGTCAGTTGCAATCGAGCAATCGCCGGAGTGAATCGGAGCAGGAGAAGTATTTGTGATACTGCCGATGGCAGTAATTGTGTAATTGTGAGAGCGAGTGTGCAATAAATTCGCAGGCAGCTAAGTCAGGTGAATATGGTGGATGGTCCATTTTTTTAATGGATTTCTTACTCAGGAATTCACAAACGCTTCATGCATCAAGCACAGTGGCATTGTCATGGTAGAGAATCTAATCATTAAGGCAGAGTTCTGGTCCTTTCCTCTGAAACAGATTCCCGTACCCTTGTCAGCACTTCCATATAACACTGTTGATTTATTATCCCCTTGTGATCGAAGAAACACACATGAATAGTCTTGAACTGTGAGCGATACAGGCGTGCTTTTTTCGACCAAGGTGAATTCTGCATTTTCCACTGCATGCTCTGGCGTTCTGTTTCCAGGACGTACTGAAAACACCATGTTTTGTGTCTGGTAATGACCTTGTCAAACATCTCTGCATTGTGTAAAAGATCATATAAAATGTATGAAGTCAACGTTGTTTCTGGCCATCTGTCAACATTCGAGGCACCATCCTTGTAAAAATTCTTCTCATTCCCAAATCCTCCGTAATAATCTGTTGCACTGTTTTCTTATGCACATTCAAGTCTTTTGCCATCAGTCTCACAGCTGATCTTCAATCTGAGTGCACAAAGGTTCGTACTCTGTCCTTTGCATTCTTGACTGCCCACTTCTTGGGTCATCTTGCGCATTTTCTCTCCCTTCCTTGTACCGCCTATGACATTAAAAAACTCGATTTCTTCATAGCATATTCACCATAAGACACCGTATAATAGGGCTAACCATTCATTGGCACTTTTACAAATCTGCACACAAAACTTTATGTTTATCCGCTGCTCCAGATTCTTGTCACCCATTTCCGGCCAACAGGATACCATGAACACACACTAGTGCCTCTGCTATTTGGGATGAACGACTCATTTGGTCTGTGGGTCATGTAAACACTGGAACATGTCAAAATGTGCTTGGGTACGTGAGTTTGCCTTACTCAACACCCCAGCCACACGCTGCGGCCATTCCGGGAATTAAATTGTTGTCATACCATGTACACGTTGCTCTGAAGTACAGTGTGTCCACAAAATCCCTTCAGGGTTTTGAAAAATTGTGGCGTGCAAACAAATTGAGCTAGCCACATGCGGTTTGCAGCAGATCATAGAGAAACTCTGGAAGTATTTTACTGACCTCAGTAGACCTCGATGTGGGTTCCCTTGGTAGCATGGGGAATGTCCAGACCATATTCGAGCTCTTGCCATGTTCTGTGAGGCATGTCCGCTGGAATGGCCGAGATCACATTCCTGATACGGGTCTTCAGGTCCGTTAACTGGTATTCATAACACACTGCTCTTGACATAACTCCACAGGGAAAAATCCAGTGGTGTTATGTCTGGTGAATGTGGAGGCCAAGGCACTGGACCGTCTCTGCTGATCCATCTTCCTGGAAATGTCCTGTCTAGGTACGCGCGTACCTGCAGACCCCCATGAGATGAAGCATCATTTTGTTGTCGAATGATGTGCGGCTGTAAGTGCTCAATTTGTGGTACTGCGTACAGTTGCAGCATGTCCAGGTAGCTGTTCATGTTGATTGTCTGCTCTTAAAAAAAAAAAAGTCCAATAACCTGGTCATGCATTACACCACATAACACGTTCACTTTCAGACTATCGCATATGTGCTCCCTAACAACATGTGGGTTTTCAGTGTCCCATATGCACACATTATGCCTGTGAACTTTATCCGAGACATGAAATGTTGCCTCGTCTGTGAACATGATTTTTTCAAGAAGTCCACATCAAGGTCAATGCGGTCGAGCATTTCTTCTGCGAAATGATAACATGCCATGCCATCAGCAGGTTTCAACTGTTGCACTGACTGAACCTTGTACGAGTATGCACACAACCTCAACCTCTTACATAGCACTTTGTGAATCGCTGAATGTGGGAGTAACAATTCACGTGAAGCTCAACATTTGTAGGGCTTCGTACAAATGATTCACAGATTCTTTCCATACATTCATCGCTTACACCCAGCCTGCCACTTCTCTCGCGATCATGGACCTTCCCAGTTTCTAAGAAACGCTATTGCCAGTCTCTTATTGCTTTGTCACTTGGAGGTTGTTTATTGAACTCTGTGTGGTAATTTCGTTGAATCTGGGTGACTGATTTTTGTTTCAAAAAACCATCCTACACAACACACGTGTTTCTGCACAGTCACCAATTCACAAACAACTGACTAAGAAACATAAAGATGCCTGCTTATGCCATATGTTGGCGGAAAAAGAAAATTTCCAGCGTTACACCACACTGCACATTAACTGTTGCTGAGAACAAATGGCTAATGGAGCTGGTAACCGCTGTCTACTGCTGACAAATTAACAGTCAGGATATCGCAGTCAGTACAGTGATGGGCTATAGGCCGGATGAAGACGGAGACAGAGTTCAAGTCCAAGTAGGGGTAAGAATTTTCACTTCTCCACGTCATCCAGGCACACCTAGCCTCCTATCCAATAGGTACCGGGGGGGCTCTTTCCTCGGGGTTAAAGCGACCGGGGCATGAAGCTGAACACCAACCTCCAACTAGTGCCGAGGTCAAGAAAACGTGGGTCTTTACATCCACACCCCCATAAGTCTTCATGGTATAGTGCTTACTTAGTTAAGCACATAGACAAATTTACCTTTTACTGCTGACAAATTATAAACTCCCAAGCTGCTTGCCATGTAACAGAATAACGTCAGGAAGCCCAAAAGTTAATTACGTCCCTTTATTCCAAACACTATCAGCCATCAGGCATGCTGATTCATTGGAAAAATTTGTATGCGCCTCACAGAAAGTGGCACACCAGTCACCATGCAGAGCCGTGAACCAAGTCCACACACTAAAAATCCTCCTTGTTGATCATCATTAAAAATATTAAACAAAACAAGCCCCGGGATTGAGCCTTAGTGTACGCCAAAAAAAAAAAAACAGGAAACAGCAAATGGGGAAGAAAACTTCCCTAACATGCAAACAACAGTTGATTTGGATGATATATAAATATGGAACAAACTAATACAATGCAGAGGGTCCTTCGCCTGTTCAGTTTATTCAGCAATAAAAGGTTCGACTAAGACTGAAAGTAAACGGAGTTAACCTGCACTTGTGTGCAAGACAGTAGGTGTGACTGCAATTAAACAGGTAATTAAATGGGTTACAAATGATTTGGATTTAGCAGTATGAGTAATATTTTCAGAAACTTTTGAGAAGCTATTTACAATTTAAATAGATCAGTAGTTCATCACAAATTCGCTGCAGCCCTTCTCAAATAAAACAGGACAACAACTGTTCCTTTACATGCAGGGAAGAATCCCTTTTACTAAACTTCAGTTAAATACATGTTTCAATAGAAGGGCAAAAATTCAGGAATTTTGGTGGCCTAACATGTGGAACTCCTTCCATGACATCACTGTCAGAAATGGCAGAAACATTTGTAAATTCTTAAAGAGTAACTTTAAGAATGCTTCAGATATTAAATACAAAATGAAGAATTTAAATTACACTGAAAGTGGTCACCAAAGGCTTCTGCAATAAGCTGTGGTTCTGTAATACATTTATCATGAGATTTTGTTATACCCATGGTACAAGCTAAAGTATTTTCCAGCACAATATTTCAAATGAAATTTGGTAACGCTGCTTAGTATAACATGTATCTTTGATCCAGCCGAAACATTGTTACTCTAGATGACAATCTACACGAATATAATAGAAAAATGTTTCTTAGCTTTTACTTCCGCTTTTATCTCAAATCTAGTAGAAATGAAGTAGCTGCACTTCAGGACAAATTAAAGAAATTTCCGGCCTCTGAACGGCCTAATACAATGCAACGTGATCATTTTTATCGTCCGGCGATTGTTTTACAATCATTATCTTCTCGTAGTTATGTCTTCTGGGATATACCGAAAGCAAGCGGCGTTATATCCTATAAGAGAACTCTTCATAACCACCGCTGTGAGAGCCTCAAATCCTACGTTATACTCGCAGTTAGTCCTACAATGAGTAATAACATTACCAGAGCTGGATAAATCACAACGAAACTACAAACTCAGCTGCCGTCGTCTAACCTCCATCACTAGTTAATCGAAATTTACAAATATGTTTAATATGAACACTTGTAACACATAAATTAAATACTGTATTTTATTCAGTTGGAAGTTCATTAATCTATACTTACCTAAGCTATGATCCTATAAAAGTATATTAATAAAAAATATATACGTAACGCCGCAAACTTCGCGAACATTAACACAAATTTGTATGTGATGCAGGTAAATGCCGGAAGATGTCTCTGGTTTTCCGTCATTTCCTGGATATATGGATACATCGTTTGTATGTACGGATCACGACCGTAATCGCAGCGAGGGCAGCGAGTGTTTGCAGCCAACGAGGCTCACCGTTAAACGAGAATACGAGAGATCGATATCGCTGCTCAAAATTAACCAAGATATCGAAAAAGTGGTTTGTTACAGTTACTGTATTTGTACTTGGATTAATAAACGAAAACAATGGTATTTGTGCACTTTTTATAAAACATGTATTATTTCTTCATAGTATATATGACATCTTTTGATCTTTTCGTAACTTTTCGTATTTCATCTTCACAGGCCAGTGAGGTGGAAGAAACTATGAAGAGGATACAGTCCCATAAGGGAGTGGTAGGAACTATTGTTGTAAATTCTGAAGGTAATTGTCATGACATCACTTTCCGAAGTGTTTCTACAGCTATGCATATGTTAAGGTGTTTTTTATGATGTAAGTTGTAGGTGTAAGCATAAAACATTTCTTATACTGAGACCATGGAAGGCAGTCCAATGGATTGTGAGGATGATGGCTGCAGTGGCTTCCCATTCTGTGATTACTGTTAAATTCCCATCTGGGCTGTGTCAGCTTGTCCACGCTGTCTGTCACTAACAAAGGATATCTCATGGTTAGCATTACCATCATGCCATGAACATAATAACTAGGTAACAAGGGGAGCATAAGAAAGTATACTGGAGATGGAAGCTTAACAGCTTGAGGGAAATGTGTTGGCAGTTGATCCATAGAACTTCTCCATTGAAATCAATGAACATTTGAAGATATAAATACAAGTATAATATTTTTTTTAGATAGTGTAATTCTAGTGACATTCCTGACCAAAATAAATATGACTGTACCTCAGGATGTAATTTTTTTGGTGGAGACCGAAGTTCAGAGGTTTTATTCCTATAAGGATTAAGGTAGAATTGAGAGATATTATGTTTGCAGTTGAGTCAACACATTATATTAATAAAGCTGTTTCATACCCAATCAACTAGAAGGGAGGTCCAAGGTTAGCCTAGACTTTATTGTTTACAAAAGGAATATATGCCTCGGTTGCCAAAACCTCACCTATTTTCAAGATATTCTCCCTTTGCACTAACATATTCTTTCAGTTCTCCTGAAAAGTTACTGATGCCAGCAGCACAAAATGTTTTATCCTGACTGCTCAGCTAGTACAAGATACCCCATTTGAGTTCATCAGTTTGAAATTTCTGATGTAGGTGCACTTTCATTTCTTTGAATGAATGAAAATTATTGGGGCTTAAGTCGGGAGGAGAGTGGTTCATGATTTTCCACCCAGTGTTGCCCAATTTTCTATATGTGAATGAGTTATACAGTAGGATTGTCTTTGACAGGTATCCCAATTAAGACAACAATGGACAATACTACTACTGTTCAGTATGCAGGATTAATAAGTCAGCTGTCAGACAAAGCAAGAAGTGTAGTTCGAGATCTGGATCCCACCAATGACCTCACATTCCTTCGGATCCGTTCCAGAAAACATGAAATAATGGTTGCTCCTGGTAAGGAAAAACACCCTTTTACTGAGAGAGGAGGAGGTATAGCAGACTTTTCTCTTTGAAACAGTTTTAATTTTTAAAATATGGAAACATAACTTATTATATATCCTTTTTAATTTTTTCCAGATAAAGAATTCATTTTGATCGTCATTCAGAATCCAACAGAGTGAAAAATATTTACTGTGTTTCTGGAAAGTGGACTATGATTGCTTAGTTTTGCTGTGTAAATATAAAATGTATCTTGTTGGTAAGACATAATGCAAACTTCCAAATGGTTTCATGTCAGTATTTAATTTTATACTTTGTACATTGTATAAATGTAGAAGGAAATAGCGTAATAGAGGTCATCATAAAATTAATTATAGGTTCACATTTCAGGTGTGAGTATTGTGGAAACATCAAATTTAATATAATGAACTACATGTTCTTGTGTATGCATTTTTAAATAATACACCTATTGCTTCTACTGAGTCCACTGTATTTTCACAATATTTATTACACAATATACTATTGTAACAGCCACAAATGCCAAGTATTGTATGCACAATCATGCTTTAGGTTATGCATCTCTGTATTANAGCCACAAATGCCAAGTATTGTATGCACAATCATGCTTTAGGTTATTTCCTCCTTGCTTGTAATGGTTCTTCTATCATATAAGTACAGAAAATGCATCTCTGTATTGAACAGTGTTGGTAATTAAAATATTCACTATTTAAAAGTCAGTCTGTTTTAAAGACCAGTGTGTATTTCTAACAGAAGTTCCTTTCTCAGGTCTTCCTGGGACATTGACACTGAAGAAGTGGAATTCAAAATGGCTTTGCACACTAGTAGTTCAAGCGGTTGTTTTCATTTTTGTTACACCACTGTGTAGTGGTGAATTAGTTTGCCATTTTGTATAAATGGGAAGTCTTCATATTTGGGGTAACATTACATCTGATCCACTAAATAGAAGATGAGTATTATTCACAGTTCCATAGACTACTACTTCAGATACATATAAACACAATTTTCAGCAAACTACCTTGAAAGCCTTAAAACTTAAACTAAAGTACTTCTTGTCTCAGCCTGTAGCTTTAACAGTAAGTACTTATACACCTTGATTATCTTCACAGGCTAGTTGATGATAGGTGTTGTGAGTTCATCTCTCTGGCATTCAAATAGGACAGATGATTTATGAAATAAGAAGTGATGACATTCATGTAGCTCACTTTACTGGGTTACTTACATTTACTGACAGCCAGTCATAATAATCATGCATCACTCAAAGCAAATACAGTGAAACTTGGATTTTAAGTTCATGAGTCTTCATTTTCCTTGCCATCAAAACTACCATGAGAACAATCTTAAAATTTCCTGGAATATACATTTGTGATTTCTATTTAGTTCCGTGATTATATTGTGGCATATTCACTGAGAGCAAGAATTGTGTAGTAACAACAGCTGTCTGTTAACTAGTCAGTGGCCCATAAACAACAGAGGAATGGTGTTTCTGCATAGTTTGTGGTGACGGCTGTGCATGCAACAGTGGAATACATCACGACATTGCTAAGCAACAGTTGCACTGCAACAGAGGAATAGTGTTTTCCATGCCGTCTGTGCCGAGATATTATAAGCAGAAAAAATTAGGGGTTAGTTGCCGGAACCCGTGTGGAGGCGGGGGTCGAATACCTCCACCGTGACCCTGCGAGTCGTAGGAGGCGACGAATAGGGAAGTCTCAAATTTGAGACAGTAATATATGGTCTCGAGTACCAAGGGACTCGGACCCGAGAAATACTGCACTGGCAAGGACCAGGAGCATATAAAAAAGACAGACCCATCCTCTCGTCAGAGAGGGCGCCCACAGAAACAAGACTGTAACTGTCAAACAGTAATAAATATCTGGTCATGAGCCCCAGGAGGGTGCTCGACACCAAGACTTACTGACTGACTGACTGGCCGTCAGTCGCAATGTGACTTTGACTTTGACTTTGGTTAGTTGCCCATGCAGAGGAGGGTTTGAATACCTTCACCGTTGCCCTGCGAGTCATAGGAGGCAACAAGAATGGAACCCAGTGTCTGGGGGTAAAACTGGACTACCCTGTTCCTGAGGGATATAAATATGGGGCTAGGCCCTTCAGATTTCAGGAGTCTCCAGCATGAGACAGTAAAATATGGTCATCAATCCTGTAGGACTCACCCAAAAAAGACTGGGCTGGTGAGGGCAAGCAGCAATTGTAAATTACAGACTCGCCTCATCACAGAGGGTGGCCCACATCAACAAACCCCCAACTGTCTGACAGTAAAGAAAATCTTGTCTTGGACCCAAGATGGGGCTTGACACCAAGACAGAATGGCTGACTGACCATCAGTCATAAAATAACTTTGACATTGAGTCAGATAACAGCTGATATTCAGTTGTTGAGAGCTGTTGCTGCGGGAAACTGGTAGCTGAAGTAGGGACAGTTCGGGAACTGAGAGGAAGGAGAACGTATGCTTTTGGAAGCTGCTACCAAACAACCGCTAGTGTGTGCTATAGTGATTTGTGAAATATGTTGAAGTGTGAGAGAATAATCCTTATTTGTAGTTACATGTTTTAAGAGTTCAATAAATCCAGCTACTGATCCAACCCCCGACTGTAGTCACTAAAATCATGACAGCTGGTGTCAATTTGAATTGGATTGAACAATTGGGCTGAAGACATTGAATTGTTATATCGTTATACTAAATGATGGAATGCCTTCTGGCCAAGATTGATGTCATGCAATAAAAAACGAATGCCAGCCAACAGGAGATGAAAGCCTACGTTGGTTCCCTCACTTCCCACATGGATATCTACCATGCCAAGGTAGAGGCCAGTAATGAAAAGATTGTGGTCCTTGGAGAAGATATGTGGACCAGTCAAGAAGAAATGAAAAGCCGAATAGGTGCTCTCATCTCCCAGATGGATATCCACCAAGCCAGGACAGAAGAAAAAATGAAAGCCAAACTGAACACACATCAGGGGAAGATGAAGGCCGCAATAAACATGGGGATGTGTGTCGATATGCAGACAAAGCTTCCTGGAAACCATAACATACATGGGAGCGCCTTCACGGAGAGCTAGGCCTCATGATCCAGGTTGAGACACGATGACGAGAACCATAGTTGGTACCATGCAAGGAGGACTGGAGGCCAAGATATCACAAGTGGAAGCCCAAACTGAGCGCGGGTCTTACCAAAGAACGAGAAAGGGTGCAGGCATGTTGCAGACCCCTAAATTCAACAGATGAACATCACTGGCTGTTTCGACAGCAGTTAAAAGACCATGGCGGAACACAACAGCTGGACACCCAGCAATCCAGAAACTTTCTGGTAACACCTTGTATTCATGTGGCACTTGGGGTATTTTTTTGAAGACATGTTCTAGTTCCTTATAGAAGCTGTCCTTTCTGTCATCAGTTTTATCTTCTGTTAGGGTATGAACATTCAGAATAAGATCACACCAGCAACCTCTTAGTATTATATACAACATCCTATCACTAGCACACAATCTGAGTCACTGATTGCAGTTCCCACATTGATAACCTGACTGTATTTCATAGTGGCACAGTTGTTTTCTGAAGGAAAGTAGCTATCAGACAAAACACTTAGGCCTTGGGATATCCGTATTGCAATCATATACGGATGATTTTCTTCCTCCTGTTGGTCCATCAGTTGATCCAGCACTGCACATATGCCTTCTTTGAAGTTTTGCTGCCTCTCAGGTGTGAACTTCTTGACTATTAGTGATGAGGCTTCTGGAAAGGCAGTTCTGCATCTTCTGGTTCAAATGGTTGAGCACAAGTAAATTATAATTGTCGAGCATAAGAAATCCTTTTTAAGAGAAAATATAACTGCTCTCTGCCAGTTGGCAATCTTAAAAAACATTTTACTTTAGTAGAATGTATGAAAATTGTTGGTTCATCTGCCCTAATTCTCATCGTGCTCCAATTCTTTTGTACTTCTCATATTTAATCCTAAATGTCTTTCCTTACAAGGAAAGTAGTAGTAGCAGCAGCAGTAGTGGTGGTGGTGGTGGTAGTAGTAGTAGTAGTGGTGGTGGTGGTAGTAGTAGTAGTAGTAGTAGTGGTGGTGGTGTGAAATATAAAATTCTTATTTATTATACAAATTTACATACAGATATTGCTTAATCTCCTGATTTTTTAAATGAGTATACAAGACTTCAAGTGTTCTATCAATGTTAAACTTCAATTATAGTCTAATTAAGGGCATTACTGAATGAACTCATATGAGCATTATTGAACAAATCCATCACACATTATAAAACAGGCATTTCTGTGTCTGTTTTAAAACAACAGAATGGCTAAGCCTTTATATCATCACAGGCTTTGCCTGTGCATTATTCATAGTCAGTAAACAATGTTATCAGTGGATTATGCATGATTTGTTACAGGGCTGAAAAATTGTGATTTCCTGACCACTGCAAATTACACTAAGGAATCCAGCAGCAGTATAATGTTTGCCTATTCCATCAAACATACATATATTAAATTAACCAGAATAATAATAATCCATTCACCAGTTTCCTTAGGCATAATATTATGGGGAGGAAATCATACAAATTCCACTGACAATTTTATCTAGAATTGTAACTGTTAATACAGTTCAGATCGTGAAGTAATCCATGTTAGGTTATGGAACACACATGCCAGCCAATCTGTACAATCAATTCCCAAGTTTTGAATCAATAATGACTATAACGTTAGGATCATTGCTGACCTAATTGGGTGCCTAGATTTACAACAGAGGTGTATTTTTCATACTGCCTAAGTTGTACTATCAAGATACAAGACACTGCACTCCCATGTTAGGAGTAGAATATAGTGCAGCACTTTCCACATGCTTTCTACACCTTTCATCTCTAACAATCAGTAAGTTAAACCAATACCCCACTGCAGTTCAGTCTGTGTAAGTTGTTCGTCCTTCTGTCAGTCATCTCCACTATCATCTAACACGGAGTAAATAGAATCACCCCTTATTGACTGCTTATACTGTAGAAAGAAATTCCCTCATTCTTCCCAGCTGGGTTCATACAGTACATGCAGTGCTTTTTTAGCAAATTTAAAATTATCCTATTCACCCCTGGTTGAATATAATGTCACCCAGTGAAAATATATCACTTTTATTTTTGCATTTAAAATTAAACTTATTCAGTTTCGCAGTTTGGCCAAACAAGCTCAGAAAGCATGCACACCACGTCTCCATGGAGAAATATGTATGCAAGCACTGCATAAGCCAATTCATGCTGTGAAAATGAAAAAAATATTAAAACTGAAAATCTCTCTATGCTGTCATAGTTTTTAATCTTCTGGCTAAGGAAGAAATTCCTCTCACAACCAGATTTGAACTGTTTCCTTTTCCTTGGCACTACAGCCCCAGTGGGCCTAGGCCTACCTCCACGAACTTTTCCATTCACTTCAGTTTTTCTAGATCTTACACATTCGATAGGACTCCTTGGGTGGGTGATCAGCTCATCACAAGGCCTCTACCTGTACACAAACACAGAAAAACGCACACACAAACTAAAGATCCATGCCCTGAGTGGGATTTGAACTCACGATCCCGGTTTCCAAGTGAGCGAAGACAGTACATGCCTTAGACCGCACGGCTACCGTGACCGTCAATTTGAACTGTTACTGAAACAAATTCTAATTACATGCATTAAAAGCCCTCAATGCCTGTGTAGAAGAGCAAAGCAGCCATTAAACAAACAGAAGACAAATGGATCAGAATTTAATGTACTGGCAATTTACTTGATAGGCACAATGTAAAGAACTTGAAAGATAAATACTTCTCCTAAACAGCTGATAAATCAACGAATATTAATACGAGTAATGTCATGGAACTAACAATCTTATTATATTTTGTATATGACAGAAGTAATATCAAGAAATGTTTGTGTGTTTGTTGAAAGTGCAAAAAACAGATGCAGATACCGTAACTCAAACTATCATGAAAGAATTAAGACAGAGTGGCACTGATTTAAAATATTTAGTAGTCTGTGCCTTTGATGGAGCTGCAGATTTCTTGGGGAATATTAGTGGAGTACAAAGAAAAGTTTCAGAAATGGTCAGAAGAGAAATACCATACTTCACTGCCACCATATATATTCTCAGTAGTGTTAATTAGTGCAAATAATAAATATTCAACCATTAAACATGTGTTACACATCTTAAATGACATCTACAACTTGTCCCAGAAAGCATCAAAACATGAAAGGATACTGCATGATGTCTAGTCTATCCTGGAAGAGCCACTGCTAGAAATACCCAGTATAACTGAAGTTCATTGGCAAATAAATTTCCAGTCCACTGTAGTCAAGTTGTGTTATGGCAGCATCATGGTGACATGGTGACCAGTGCTGAACATTCCTTCAGCACAATGAGCATAGTGATGGCAAAACCGAATGAAACAGGAAATGCTGCAGGACTGTGTGAAGATCAGAACTGAAAGTCCCAATGAGTTATCCTTGGATTTATCATTGAACTGATATATTCTTAAAGACAACACAGAGAACAGTACTGTGGCATGTAGACCCACTGCCAATTAACAGATGTGAAAACAGATGACAGTACAAAAACCGTTGCTAGGGAACAGCTCTGGGAAAATTCTGTTTCCCCAGCAATGAGAGAACATACAATAATGGAAGTAGTGTTTTTTGTGTGGTCTGTACTGAGGCTATATACCAGGGACCAACTGCCATTACGGGAATCTTGAGATGGCAGTTAGAAGAGCAGGAGGCTTGTCTGAGATGTCTGCCAGCCTGCGAGGAGGGAGGTCCAAAAGCAAAGGAAGATCCACTGTTGGAAGACGTTACCAAGCAGAGCAATGAAGACCATGCCTGAGAACACTAGTCTTTGTGTGATACTGATCTGCAAAGTGTAGTCACAAGTTGTGTTACTCTGTCCAAGAAATCCAATTAATAATCCAAACCCTGTCTATAGTCACTTGATCACATGACAATATGATTACTGTACAGCACTGATTTTCTTGATAATATACCCTGTGATTTTTAAACTATATAGCTGATTAATGGTTATCATACTGCTGATATTATATTTTATTCCTATTTCTTAAATATAATAATTGCAAATAAAAACTGTTGACATTAAATTTTGTATGATATATAAATAAAAGAAAGTGCATTTAACCCATTTGCACCCATAAGCATACTTATATGCTCTCATGTACATGGCCATCACTGCCTCATAGATTGATATGCAAAATGCAAACAACTGCTTAAAGGAGCTTCTTGTGACATCTGGAGATTGGTGGTATTACTATTTCATAATAAACTAGGCAACGCGACAAGAACATTCACATGGGTCTCGGATTTGAAGGAATATTTATTGGACATTCACTCTTTACATTCGCAAATACAATTATTCACACTTATAATGTCCTTTAGACGTTTCTTCTTCAATGTTACACAGCTGATCTCGGTGGAGTGTCTTCTGCTATGCTCGGAGCTCAACTGTCCTTGGTCCCTTGTTGGATACGAATTCTTCGGCTCTAGTCAGATAAGAACTCTGCTGGTCTCTTGCTGAATACGAACTGTTATACCTTGCACTCAGACTGAATAGGGAACACCTTGTCGAAGGGTTAATTCGCCCACTGCTATGCAATGAATACAGGAATACGTATCTGCCTCAAACAATTCGTGTGCATCAGTGGAAACCCCACTGTTAGATTTTCATTTCCGGGGCAATGATTTCCTAGGCATTGCTGCCTAGGAATTGCTAGTCGTTGAGTAGTGAGGGACATCTTATAGTCTGGCTTTCAGGCAGCACGTCACATTGCTCCCTCCTTAAGGTTGTTCATCCCGAACAGCCTAACGGTATTTCCCTTTCTTTCGTTTCCAAGTGTTCCTGCTTGTGACGGCTTCCTGCCTGTTCTGTTCATCTTCTGAGCGCTACATCCCACTCACTCTAGCTGGGGAGGCCCGTGCTTCTACATTACCGGCCCCTGCTCTGTTTGCTGCTGCTTTNGAGTAGTGATGGACATCTTATAGTCTGGCTTTCAGGCAGCACATCACATTGCTCCCTCCTTAAGGTTGTTCGTCCTGAACAGCTTAACGGTATTTCCCTTTCTTTCGTTTCCGAGGGTTCCTGCTTGTGACGGCTTCCTGCCTGTTCTGTTCATCTTCTGAGCGCTACATCCCACTCACTCTAGCTGGGGAGGCCCGTGCTTCTACATTACCGGCCCCTGCTCTGTTTGCTGCTGCTTTTTTCGTTTTGGAGGGGGTCCACCCCTCCACAGTGTCCAATCCTTGTTTTGTCGCTCTGAAGGGTGCCGATACCTCCACAGCGTCGAGTTTCTCACCTTCCGCAACCCACCAAACATCCTGGTTGCTATCTTCACGAATTCCAGCTCTAGGGTCTCCTTGACAGTGTTGTAGGCCGACCCTCTTCTTCCCAGAGGTGTGGCTGTCCCGATCTTCACTCTCCAACACTGATCAGTTGTCCTCTTCTATCTCTTGTTTAGCGGCCACTTGCCGCCTTGATCCTTAATTCCACTTTTGCATTCCGGCCTCTGCTGATGTCTCCTCCTGAGCGTCAGTTCTTTCGGGGCTCCTCATAACACATTGTCCCTGGCCCGAACTATCCTGATGGCGTTTTCCTTGCGCCGTGGCACTCCTGCACAGTAGGTCGTCCCTCTGCGGGAGATGGCCAGTCTCTTCTGGGATCCACAATTTTCCCATGTCATCTCCCTGCGGGCGATAGCCTTCCTATCTTTCGGCACCCATCCTTGCCCTCGGTCCGTTCCTTTGGTTTTCCTTGCCGCTCTGTAGCTAACTTCCGGTCCCTACGCCTCTTCCTCGATCCTCCGACCGGCATCATTTTGGCGTCTTTTTTAGGGACCTTGGATTGTTCTGCTGCCTCAGGTTTCGTTTCCGCTGAGATTGGCTCTTCTTCCAAACATGCCTCCGTCTTTTCTTGGTAGGCCATCGTCTCTTTTGGCTTTGATTTCTTCCTGCACAGTTTTTCTGTCCACTTCCATTCTCTTGTCCCGCATGGCTTTCATTCTTGCGGTCATCCCTTCTTCCCACGCTTTCCTTTCATATCTGTCAGCCTTCCTATCGGTGTCCATTTTGGCTATCATTCGTTCTTGAATGGCTTCTCCATTGGCCAGAAGCTGTTGCATCATCCGTTCTTGGCTGGCTCTCATATTGGTGTCCGCCTTTGCCTGGATGGCTTTCATGTTTTCTCGCATGGCCAGCAGAGTTCCATCTGCTGTGACTCCTTTTGTTTTGGTGTGGTGTTGTACTTGCGCTCTTGGTCCAATAATCTGTTCCACAATCCAAGCCAATCCCACTTCTGACACCAGTTGCCGCGTGTTTGCTAGGCAACGCGACAAGAAAATTCACATGGGCCTCGGATTTGAACGCATATGTATTGGACACTCACTCTTTACACTCGCAAATACAATTATTCACACTTATAATGTCCTTTAGACGTTTATTCTTCAATGTTGCACCGCTGATCTCAGTGGAGTGTCTTCTGCTCTGCTCGGAGCTCAACTGTCCTTGGTCCCTTGTCGGATATGAACTCTGCTTGTCTCTTGCCGCATATGAACTGTTATATCTTGCACTCGAACTGAACAGTGAACACCTTGTCGAAGGGTTAATTTTGCCCGCTGCTATTCAACAAATATGGGAATACGCGTCTGCCTCAAACAATTCGTTTGTAATGGTGGAAACCCCACTGTTAGACTTCCATTTCCGGGGCAACGTTTTCCTAGGCATCACTGCCTAGGAATTGCTAGTCACTGAGTAGTGGTGGACGTCTTATAGTCCGGCTTTCAGCCAGCACATCACAATATATTACTAACACAATTCAGTGTTCAAATCAGGTGCTATACAATCTTTTAAGAATGTAAATTCGGTGTTCACCATGGCTAAGGTGAAGGAGCATGTGTCTGTTTCTCGTGAAGATGAAAACATTAATTTACTGTATGTCCGTGACTTTGATTTCATGTCCAGCAATGAAGCGGAAGGAGTCAATTCACACGGATCTACATGCGTGAATAATTCATATGACACTGTCAGTGATTCCAAATATGAAAATAGGGGTGTGGGCTGTGATGAACAAGGCAATATGAATGGAGTCCATGATGTTGGTGATGTTGATTGGACTTGGGAAGACAATATTTTTCATCCAGAACTTCATTCATTCACTAGTACCAGCAGCATTCAATCAGATTTGGACATAACTGAATGAGTAAGAAGGGCTACTCTTTTTGTATTGTATGTTAACAATGTGTGCACTGGTGATGAACATTTTACTGACACAAATTCTGATGCACTTATGGTGTACTAACAGTACTGATGGGTTTGGGATGGAAACTGGCTTCACAGAACTATGAGACCACTGATGTTAGTGTCAGTACTCCATACTTCAGTACTGTAATTTCTAAGAACAGGTTAATGGAAACTGTAAAATTATTCATCTTGTCAGCAATGAAACATGGACAGAAGTGACCAATTACAGAAAGTAAAGCCCACTGTTAACTTGGTTGGAAACACTTTTTGTGCAGTTATACCCCTTCACCAGCCATATAAATTGATGAATCACTGAAGAAATGTAGGTGAAGAGACTGCCCCTCATTCAATATAAGAATTCAAAGAGGGCAGGGTTTGGAGTAAAATTTTACAAACTATCCAATTCTAAGACCAGATACATTAGTACATTCAAAACTGATATCATTAAAGACAAAGTAGGTGACATGCTTGATAGTACACAGGTTGTAATTGATATGATGGAAGAGTGACCATCTGAAAGAAGGTTATCAGCTGTATGTAGATACCTGGTTACATTTCACCTGACCTGTCCTACAGACTGTACTGTGTGGCAACAAATGTTTGTGGAATAGTGTGACTGAATGCAAAACACATACCAAAGGAGCCTGAGAAAAATGCCCTACAGAAAGGAGAGGCAGTTGCTTACTGCATCAATGACGTTACTGCATTTCCAGGAAACCAGAAAAGTGGTTTGAAAAACTGGAGCAACACTCTTGAAACCAAAAATAGTCACAAACTACAATATGAACGTGTGTGATATTGACCCTGGGGATTAGATACTTAAGTTACAAGTAATGTGGCAGTACAATGAAGCACCCAAGAAGATATGCTTAACCTTCTTGACATGATCTTGCTGAGCACCTACATTCTGCACAAAACTGTGAATTAGAAGAAATACAGAAAATTTCAAGTATTCAAAGAGACGTTAAGAGAGGAGATACTCAAAACATCCCAAAGAATTAGCAGTGAAGAGACATTCCACAGCACCACATGAATTGTCATCCAGACTATTGGGTCATCATTTTCTAGTGAAGGTAACTCCAATAATATTGAAAGGTAACACAACTGCAGAATGAAGAAGATGAGAAGAGACTGTAAATGTGATACTTGTGATGGTCCACTATGCACTGAACATTTCAAGCCTTACAATGTTTTGGGAAACTATTTGTTGCATGCCAAATGTTACTATGGCAATTTTATATTTGTGTGTAACCCTGAATAAATATGCTGGTGTTGTAAATAAATATTTTCACATTATTCTGTTTCAAAACATGTGTAAATATCTCCACTACAGACAAAGTTATGATAATTTGAGTAAAATATTGTGCCACTACTGCACGGGGTGAAAAGTCAACAGTTTTACTGACTCGACTGCCCACCAGGGATTTGGATCCAGATGGGTGAACATGTACGCCAAAATTTTCATTTCCTTCCAGCTTAAACTCTCTGGATAAAACACTGCATATTAATGTGTGCCCTCTACTGAAAAAATAAGTTAAAGAATGACCATGTGTCTGTATACTTATGAAAGGGTTAACAATGTATACAACTGTTCAGGAGAACAGAGATGAAACCATGACACCTGTCTAACTACACAAACCATCCCACATTTTATTTTATTCCAAGTGCCAGGTATGAGTATACATAAGCATAACAACTGAGTAATACTACTTCCCACTGATAGCCAGTAGACTTTGGCTTCATTTTTGGTGCCCTGAATATATTTAAATAAATATTAAAATACAATAGAAACAAACAACTCTTTTGAGGAAAGTGCTGTACTTTAACTGCAAGTTCTTAATTTTAAATCAGCTTCAAACACAAGCTGTGTCATACTACCTTACAGTCCTTCAAAAGTAGCTTTCACACACAAATATACTTTATAATGACAAGAGTTCAAATGCAAAATGTTCATCCTTGAGGTTCTGAGGTATTTATATCATGTGGTAATGGGAAATTTGACTGGATGTGGTTTGCTGGAGAGATTCGTTTTGGATGAAAATACAGATAATATAAAATCATGAACACAATTCCCATTACAAAAGGCACAATAGAAAATATGAGAAGTGGTATAAAGTACCATGTATTTTGGACTTGAGGATAGACCTCAACAGCCCACATGATAGCTGATACCAAGTTCTCTATGAAACAAATACTATAATACACTAGATATCTTGTACGCGTTCTGCCTTCACGAGGTGTGATGTAAGTAAAAATGTATACTAAACCCAAGATAGCAGCAAAGAGGATTTCACCTACACGTTCTTTCTCTGTAGCACTATCTTGCGATGATGTGCAGAATTTCGTTTGTTCCAGGAAAGACAGCCAAGTAGTCATTACCAGCCAATGAACTGCACATGCCAGTGCTGTCCATGTGGGAAATAAAGTTGCTATTAGACTTATTGAGAGTATACGTGAAACTGAAATGAAATAAGAGTATATATAAGAAACATATAAACCATGATCAAGAAACAAGTACCTGTTATTTAATATGTTAAGTATAATAATACTTTTAACTTATCTCCTTCATATATTCCTTTAACACAACTCTAAATCTATGATGTTGTCTAGAGCTACTCAGCCAGCAACTAAGCCATTTCTCCTTAGTATTCTACAATATCTTATTATGAAACAGAAGCAAAAGCTGTATTGCAGAAATATATTCAAAATGAGATTTGGCGGTACAAGGTATTGAGGTCACTTTCAAAACTAATTGCTATTCTTTCGATTGTCACTCTGTCCACTGATCTAGAAGGTTCCTCTTCCTGACTCAAAGAAGTCCCTTGATTAAAAGTTTCTGAATTTACAACCTTACTGTTTGTCCTAAATCTCTTATCTTCCATGTCTGTATATAGATGCCCAAAGATATGCAGGTTGTAGAGTGATTAGGTACTGCAACTCAGAATAGATAGGATCTCATATCAACACTATATGAGTATAGTCTCAATACAGACAGCATCACTGAATAACTTAAAAAAAACAGTCTCTTATAAGTGGTTGCAGTTAAAGGGCAGCTTATTCCCACCCACTTCATTTCTGCAAATACAATAAGAAATTGCAAAAATGCACCTACTACTCTGCCATGTCTGTACAAGGGCTATTCAGAAAGTAACCTCCACTTATTTTAGACAATATAGGAGCAGAAGAGAGCTCATGCATGCGAGGTAGCATCACATGATTCATTCCCTCATAAACTATCACATAACTGGTCACCTAGTGTTTGTTCTTGTCTCTACAGGGTGATTTATGATGTGCCTTGTGATTGATAATCCCGCCAGCTGCGAAATTCCCACTGTTATCCACTCTTTTCATGCTAAAAACATGAGTGCTGTGGAAATCCATTGTGAATTATGCATGTTTTATGGCCAAATGTAATTGGTGAATGAATTCTAGGGCAATAGTGCAGAATGTTCAAACATGAACAAACAAATGTTCACAATGGAGATTGAAAGTGGTGGCCCATCTGTAGTCAGTGATGATCTTGTTCAAAATATTGACATAAAATTTGAGAAAGACAGTGCTTCATAATTCCAGAACTATCGTGTCAATTTCCACTAATTTCACACACTCCTCTCTACGAGATTATCACAGTTAGGCTAGCCTATCATAAGTTCTGTGCAAGATGGGTTCTGAAAATGCTCATGGGTGCGCAAAATACACAGAGAATTCGACTTTATTTTTTTAGAGTGATACCATAAAGGTGGCATTGAATTTATCATTCAAGTCATACAAGGAACAGGTGATGAAACCTGGGTTTCATTTGTGAATGTTGCAATTAAAGAGCTGTCAAAGCACTGGATGTACACACACTCACCAAACAAGCCGAAAAAGTTTAAACAAATATTGTCTGCCAGAAAGCTGTTTCTGGAACAGCAAAGGAGTGCTGATGGTAGAATTCATGCAACAAAGGACCACAGTAACATCAGAAGTCTACTGCGAAACACTAAAAAACTGTGTAGAGCCATTCAGAACAAAAACGTGGAATACTGAGAAACGGGGTAATGCTCCTACATGACAATGTGTGTCCACATACAGCTGCTCACACTCGAGCATTCCTTGAGTATTTCAACTGGGAGTTGTCTGATCACCCTCCTTATATGTGGTCTGTTCAAGAAGTTTCGGAACTTCTGAAATAGCACGCCAACTTGACGTCTTAGCAATGTCAGGTAATTGTGCTGCTTAGTGGCATGCTTCCTAATTATCATCCTTTTTATCGTGTCATCCTGCTATGATCAGTCATTGTCCTAGAGTTACTAGTTTATGCGTGTAGAGTGTGTCTTGCGATATTCGAGATAGCTGATATTCATAACCGGTGTATCAACATAAATTTTCCTTCAGACTGGGGGAAATATTTACGGAGACTCGTGAAATAATGAAAAACGTTTATGGTGATCAGTACATGGGCCTTACACGTTGTTATGAATAGTTTAAGCGATTTAAGGGTGGTTGACACTCAACACATGATGAACCGCGTCTGGGACGGCCTTCAACTTCATGTGACGCCGCTCATGTTGCGCAAGTTTGTGAAATCGTGCGTTCTAATCGTCGTTTGACAGTGTGGGAAATAACGGAAGAGTGCAACATACTGATAGGATCATGTCATGACAAAATTATAAATGCATAAGATACTTTCAAAGTTTGTACCATGACTTCTGGCACAGGATCAGAGAGATAGTCTCGTTGCCATCTTTCAGGAACTTTTGGATCACACTAGCGAGGATGAAAACTTTCTCAAAATAATTATAACTGACGATGAAACATGGGTTTATGGATACGATGTTGAACTGAAAAATGCAGTCTTCAGAGAGGGTTGAGAAAAAAATTGCCGAGACCGAAAAAGGCACGGCGGGTCAGGTTGAACGTTAAAGTAATGTTGGTGGGTTTTTTTTACTTTGAGGGTTTTGTGCATCATGAGATCTTACATCAGGCCCAAACAGTGAATCGCTGGTATTATCTTGAAGTGCTGAAACGTGTAAGAGAAAATGCCAGAAGAAAAAGACCTCAGTTGTGGAGACACAACTCCTGGTTCCTCCATCATGACAAATGACTCCCAGAATATTGACCTTTCCTCCTGGGACACTCTGTAGACATGACACATTATGAGAGCAGTATAGGCAATACAATTCAAAGAGAAAGGTTAATATGGTACGGTCACGAACAAGTCAGAATGAAGATATATAGAGTCAAAACAGTGTGTGGTACTTGACTCAGCAGAAAGTCAGGGTGGGGTGGGGGAACATGGCAGAAAGTGAAAGACAACACAAGTAATAACACAACTTGCATACACATACCTCCACCCAAGATACTGGAACAGCCTGAATCTAGCAGCAGGAATGACTGAGTAATTGATATTCTGTGAAACCTTTATGCTCATATGCAGAATCTGGTCACCACTGCATGTACATATATGCCTCCAGTACATTCCCATATTATTCTGAATTATGTCGCATAATATTATTAATATCAGTGTATCAACTTAGCAGTCAGCTCTGCAAAGTGAGTGTTACAAAGACAGATGTGTAAACGACATGAAGTCTTGATGTTTGTAGCACTGTCATACATTTATGTTCTGAATTCATTCTGCTTTATTTCATTCCTTATGTGTATTCATACTTTGCAGCAGCAGAGCTCTGCTGGCTACTACCACATGCTGGTTTCTTGCTTAGCTTCCTCCTTAACCCTGAAGATGGAAGCAAAATGTTCCTCCAAAAAGTTGGTTAACTTTCACTGGTCTACATGGCATTATATCCCAGAAGAGAGAATTTTTCATAAACACTGCTGTGAGATCCTCAGATCCAACACATATAGGAAAGTTGGAAACACTATGGCTTCAGTTACATACATTAGAGTCCTGAGGAATGTGACACTAAGTGAGAGTAAGGACAGTGGGAAAAGGGACAGAGAGTACTGATTTGACCAGATTCTGCAACTTTTCCAACTGAATCATACCTGTTATCATAAAGTGCCACAGGAACTGCATAACTGTGCCAGGCCAAGATATGTTATCTTTATCCTCTTGAACAAATCGAATAGAGCGATGATATGAAGCCATGGACCATGCCATGCTAAGTAATGAGCTGATGATTGAACCAGCTTGATGCAACCCTAGAAAATATTAGCTAACAATTAATGAGTGGAAAAGAATGTATACATGTATGTTTACACAAGCTAACATTATACAGAGATCATTTACACTCAAACTCAGTTACACCATTACCCAAGGGGCCAGAGAAAATTATGTCATTATAAATGGTTGTCACTTACTTACTTACTCCATCTTGAGGAGAAGCAAAATCTGCAACTATTCAAGAATTTACCAGCATTTTATGAAACCCAAAGGTTCATTACCATGTTCACAAGAGCCATCCACTGGTCCCCATCATGAGCCAGATAAATTCAATCCATACCATCCCATCCTCTCTCTAAGACCCATTTTAATATTGTTCACCCACCTACACCTTGGTCTTCCCAGTGGTCTCTTTCCTTCTGGCTTTCCCACCAATATCCTACATGCATTCATGTCTCCCCATTCATGCTACATGTCCTGCCCACCTCATCCTCCTTGACTTGATCATTCTAATTATACTTGGAGAAATTACAAGTTATGAAGCTCCTCATGATGCAGTTTTCGCCAACCTCCTGTCACTTCACCCCTCTTCATTCCAAATATTCTCAACACCCTGTTCTCAAACACCCTCAGTCTATGTTCCTCCCTTAATGTCAGAGACCAAGTTTCACATCCATACAGAACCACAGGCAAAATTATAGTTCTGTATATTCTAATATTCCCGTTTTTAAACAGCAGACAGGAAGACAAAAGGTTCTGGACTGAATGGTAGCAAGCATTACACAGGTTCAGTCTCCTCTTAATTTCCTCCTGAATCAGGTTTTGATTTATTGTCGTTCCCAAATATCTGAACTGTGCCATATTTTCAAAACATCTGTTTTATATCGTTATGTCATGATTTTAAGGTTGTCACACTAACCAAAAACGGAACTAAATCATAGTTCAAGAAGAAATATGTAGGATCATTTTGTAGAGCACTACAATGCACTTTAAATGTAAACCAGATCCTACAGTATGTTCAAAAATGATACCATATTTACGCGTGTATAGGCTGCACATTTTTTGCCAATATTGTCGGAGGAAAACTGGGGTGCGGCTTATATTCGAAATATTCGAAATCACACTTCATTTAAAAAAAATATATTCATAATTAGTAATACAGGGTGTAATACTCCTGAAATAATATTCCAAGAAAATTATTTTTTCTATAATTTATGTCTGAAAATTGTGCTGCGGCCTATACACGCACGCGGCCTATACATGCGTAAATATGGTAATTTTAATGATATGTACATATTTCTTGAACATTAAATGTATAGTGTATTTTCTAAGGGTATTGAGTAGTTGAGTACTCAGCATCACTCAGGATTGTTAGAAAGGTTGTTAAAACAAGGTATGAGACAGTCCTGTTAAATTTCTCACTGTCCATGCATGCAAAGAAGGGGGTGAGAACAAGGTGCCAAATGTCACTATAAATGAATTGGTTATTCTACATATGTCTTTCTAATAGAAGCAGAAAAGCATGTGTTCTATGGAGACATAATTAATGCTACTCAGTATTAGATGCTATAGCCAAGGTGTCACTAATACTGCAGTAGCTATAACCAAGTCTAACTACTTACACACATAACATCTTCTGCTCAAATAACTTCCTGAAGTAGCCCCATTAATGGCTAATAGATGCCCATACTATAGTTAAAACAAATATTATGTTGTATTTACACATACATGATGAATACAGATTTTAGTCATTTTAGAATGAAGACATCATGGCATGCAGTACAATAGTTTAACGTGCATAAAGACACCTGAGGATGGCACATTAGTGCTGAAACATGTAGTGTGGAAGTGAAGAATAAGGTGAGAAATTGTATACACTGTAAGATGGTTAGCATAAACCATGGTTAATTTAGTTCGTGTCATATAGATTGCATCTCTTTAAAGAGAGTTGGGTGTCTACCACTTCTTGGTTCTGTCATTTGATGAACAGGACTCTTTAGTGTCATCCTGCTGTTCAGGCCGTGTTGTGTTGTTATGAGAAAAAACATTTTATCAGTCACACTGGACGGAGTTGATGAACCTTTTGTAATATTGCTAGTGTGACAGACCAGGATAAACCAAATAAAAAATAAGTTAAAAGGTGTTTAAGTTAAAAATATATTAATGTTCTTAATATTTAAAACTTTGAACTGGTGAGGTTTGTGTCTCCGTGCCCCTTCTGTCAAAGCAGGAGACTGGGGTGTTATTTGCAGTCCTCTGAGGTCTGGGCAGCATAGTTCCCCCCCCCCCTTTTTATATGGTTGGTTAAGGATCTGTGTTGTTAAGTTGGTTCTCCTTTCATTGTGTACTGAGGCCTCAATACACAATACATATCCTTAAATAATCATATTAAAAAAAGGTGGGAAAACAACACTGTCTGGACCTCAGATAGCAAATAACACCCTTATCTCCTGTTTTGACAGAAGAGGTACAGAGACACATACCTCACAATTCAACAATTTAAATATTAAGAACATTAATCATATATTTTTAACTTAAAGACCTTTTACCTTTATTAAAAATCTTTATACAAAACTTTAAGCTCATGTACTATGATAAATGTAAAAAGTAGTTCCTTAACATGTCCTTATTGCCTTCTGAAGATGATCACAACTGACCAAAACATGTAAAGGCATTACATAAATATATGCTGACTTACACTGGATGGATGATTATTTTATAATAATGTGGTCACAAGATTGTAAAGTTATGCTGTGTACATGTATATACAGACCATTTTCAGCAAGTGGTTCATTTGGAGAGTCAGCATAACCAACTCTACACAACCAAGTGATTTGGGATGCTTTTTAGGCATGCGTCTAGTTTTCACTACATTCTTAATAGAATATAAAACCTGCAAGTTTCATTTTCTACTTGGGCTGGCTTAATACCTCAAATCAACAAATGAAAATACTCAAAAACACATAATCTTTCCATCAGATACTCATCATTTGTGTATTTTCTGTACAGTCTCATCCTCTGGAAGCAAAATTCTACATTTCTTCAATTAAGTAGCCATCTCATGAACCTGAATCATGTGCTTTGCATACACTTTTGTTTCAGGTCAAATATAAAGTTTGAGTTACTCTGAAATAAAGATTAATAATTCACCTCTTCTTATACCCTCTGATAGGTAAAGTAATGTAAGGGTAAAGCTGTCCCTGTGTTTAATTAAGCATCACGCCATGGAGACATATGGAAGAGTGGAGGTATACTTCCACCAGTCTTCACTGTGACAACAGATGGAGGTAAGTGGTGAACTTCAAGCACCAGCCACCTTAACCCCCGGGAAAGAGTTCCTGTTATCCATTGGATATGAGGCTGAGTGGGCCTCTTTTACTCAATGGATACAAGGCTGGATTCTGTGGAGAGGACAAAATCTCTTGCCCCTGCTGAAAATCTAATTCCAGCCAGCCATCCATCCCATTACTATGGTGACTAGGTATTCCAGCTGCCTTATACCCTCAGAACAATGTTGTAGAAACTGAGCTACTGAAAGCATTATTAAATAAACCATAAATAAACACATAAAATGCTGAAATAAATGTGTTACTCAAATTTTCTAAGTCATTTCACATTTCAGTCATTCGTATATGATAATCTGGAAGTTACACATTTAATCTAACAACTTTGGGCTGGCAGAATTTATACTGTTCATTATGTATCTTTCCCCAATATACACTAATAACTGCAGTTTCATATTACATGATATCTAATTTAAAGACCAATCTGATTTCTGTAAGCTGTTATAGCAAGCTTCCCACAATAGCAAGTGCTAAGATTTCATGGCTCATTTTCCTCTGAATTTTATCTCACTTCACTTCATTTGGCAACCTTGCGCTTCTGTGTAGGTCTCACATCTTGGTAAAAAAGTTCCTACATTCAAAGTAAAGTTATTATCTGGGAATGGCCAAATATTTCCTTTCAGTTCTTGAAAAGAGTGAAGACTACACATAAACTTTATCTTTTAGTGTACCCCACAAATTAAAGTCGCACAGATTTAGATCAGGCAAAAGTGCAGGCCACAATCTTTGATCAATTGGTTGCTCACCAAAAGCTTCAATTAACTTGTCCAAAGAATTACAACTGTGTGTGCCATGGCACAGTTCTGCATGAAATAGCCATAAGCTTCTTATTCCTCAGCTGACTAAATACAGGTCCCAGAATTAATTTCAAATAACGTTCAGAATTTGTTTCTTCATAAAACATACACTTATTAATTACCAAGCTCTAAGACTGAACCAGATTCTAAGTTTCACATCACATAAAGGCAATTCATGAACACGGGGATTTTCACACATTTTGTTGCATCCTGTTGTGTAAATCACAACAGATAACTCACTCATTCACCTCAATCTTTAATGCAACTTAAAAACGTTCACAATCTCTCTTTAATTTAAAATAACATTAAAATCACATCAATTCCTACATGTTTTGACCTTACTTGGCCCTCTCCAGGCAATTGTTCACTTTTGAAAACTGCCACACAGCACTTGATCTTAAGTCAATAGATTTCAATGCTATTGCATTATTGTTGTTCACACTAAAATACATCTGTGTGAGAGTAAAACTCTTTCTCCATGCCGCATTATTTTCCTTTCACGGTGTCCATGTGTTTGCCCCTTTTGTATGTATGTGCTCACTAGCTCGAAGTATGTCCCTTGTGAACAACTGCCTGAAGATGGTAAGTAATGCTGAAAAATGTAGCGATTGATATGATTTTAATGTTATTTTAAATTAGAGAAATTGTGAAGAGTTTTAAGTTGCACTGATGATGGAGGTGAATGAGTGAGTGATAGATACATCAATAGAACAGGATGCTCAAATATAACACTATAAAATAATACTTATTTATTCCTGTCAACATAATACAATTTTCAGCAGATGGAATTGCTGTCTAGGATGACCTGTTTTGGCACATGTGTGCCATCTTCAGGTCCTGTTTTCAGCTACTATGCACTTGGCATAAATTTACATGTAAAGTGGATCCACCAGTGTT